TGAGGGGAAAAAATTGGAATTTAAAAACGTTTTTTTTTTTTTTTTTTTTTTTTTTCGTATTTGATTGGATGAGATTGTTTTTTTTTTTTTGTTGTTGTTTTTTTAAGTTGAAAAGTATCTTGAGATTATATTTGTTGTAAGTTATCACGATATAAGTAAACCTAATTGCATTTATCATTGACCGGGCTTTTGGAATTTGGGAAAAAGGTAATCAAAGAGAATAGTCGTGTGTTTTATTTGCAACTAAAGGTTGTTTGAAATGTTTTTCCTCCTATCAGCTTTGAATAAAGTTTAAGAAATATATTAAAATAAACAGTATTTTTGCGCAGTCTCCAAAAACGAAGGATTAATGGGTATTAATAAATAGTGCTTAGCAAGCTGGATTTCTTGGGGTGGGGTCAACGTCCAACCACCAGTTGCCTCCCACCAGCTGGCTGATTACGGGACAAACAGGTACGCTGAGAAATAATCCTCTCATATCGACAGAGGTTTTCACTACTCTCCCCCATGCTCCCGGCTTGTGGGAAGTAAAAGTCCAGAGAAAAGGAAAGTGGTCTGTTGATACTCTGAAGCAGCGTGTGCTGTCCGGTGCCCAGAAGAAGGTCGCACCGAGCTATTAGTGGTTAATAGCCGAGCTACAGCACAGGCGGGGCAGAGCTTCAAGCTAGAGCCCTGAGCCGGGTCTCGGTTGTTCACAAACACCGGATTAAGTCTCTGAAATTGAAGAGAACAAAGGTAGGAATTGTTTAGCTTCATAAGGTCTATGTGATTTCGAATTTTAAACTCTGAAATATTAATATTTAGTTTTATCAACTCTGAATAATCAGCTTATACCGTGAGGCGCTGAGTCTTTAGTTAATTTTAACTGGCAGGTTTGACTCAGGACCCTATTTCTTGAAGCAGTGCAACATTTATAGCTTGCATTAATGTGAGTTTTGGTTATGCTATTCTGACTAAAATTTAAATTGGATAGTGTAATCAACGGTTCCTTTGCTTTCTTTTTTTGTATTTATCAATAATCAAATCCTTGAAAAAAAAAAACTGATCTGGATGTGTTGCTGTTATAGAAAATGTTATAATGTACTCCTCACCCCTTTTGTGCTTCAGATTGTATCTGAAGATGTGATCATGTGTCTGAATGATCTTATCATGAGATTGATCAAGCTGCTCTCCAGTGCCATATAACAGCAGGAGAGCTCCTTGATCCTGGAGACTAAGTGTTACTTCCCCAACCCATGACTTATCTGCCTTCTTTAGCATGAAAGAACAACCCCCTGTCCTTAACAATAGACAAATCCAGACCATCTGTGTTGGGCTCCACAGAGTCGCTGATATATAACAATCAGGGTTACACACCTATTGTCCAATCAACAGATCCACTGTTAATCAGAGCAGACTTGACAGACTCCTTGACTCTGTATTTCTGTTCTCACCTTGCAATGTTTTAATACATTTCTTATTTCTTCTCATCCAGACTCTTACTTAAAGTAATAAATTTTTCCGACGACAGTTGCCAAAATGTTTGACTGTACATATGGTTGAGAAGTTGTTACAAACGTGTATTAATAATTAATTTGGTAAAGCCCTTTGATTCCTCAACCTACTGCTGTAACATGGTTAAGTTGGGTGTAACGTCATTCCCAGATCAGGTTCTGCCGTTGGAGGAAAAGGGAATGCAACATTAACTGTGCCACCAGCACTTGATCTTGGTTCAGTCATCCCAATACTACCTACCTCACAAATGAGTTTGGTGTGGTAAAGTAACTTCGGATTTACCTTGCAAAATGAGTGCCATTGTTACATGGTGCCACTGTCCCATGTAGCAGTGGTACTTGTACAAAATCTGAAACCATGGCTTTAGAGGGGGACAAATGTCTGACAGTGCAACAATAGTCTTTTCTTGTCCTTAGTCAACTTCTGTTTTTTTCTTTCAAATTGGACTTCCTGTTAAGACATTCAGTGTTTTCATAACTATAGCACATAAAAGGGGTGGTGGAGTCTTCAAGGCTTTAAATGGGTTGTAATTTTGAATATTGTATTTTTTTTTTATTAAACTCAAATGGCATCAAAATAATGCTCCTGGTTTATCTGAGCATCTATGTTGTAACAACATGCTGTTATGTCAGCCAATGTCTATAGAAAAGGAATGAGGGTCACATTCTATGAAGCCAACTTGTGACCCCATTTGACCAGACACAGTTATGTGAGACAATCGACTGTCCCAACAAAGAGTTGTTTTTCTTTAACGCGAAGAAATTGTGCCATGAACTGACAATTAACTCAACATGAGTACAGTAATGCTGTCCTGCAGGAAGCTTACTTGACTGGTTTGTGACTTTATGCGGTGGTTTTGCAGCACACATCTACAGATTAGACATGGACTGACAATGTTTGGTTCTTCTGATCAGTTCTGCTTGAGGCATGCCTCAAGTAATGTGTCTAGGAACACATGTTGACAATGTGCAGAGGTCTGTATACGTGACTGGCCATGTGATGGGAGCTGTTGTGCAACAAATGGACCCACACACCCAGTCCGTAAGGGGCAGACTACTCTTGGAGATATTCAAAGAGTTCCTATTAAAGGGATTTAAATAGTCGATCTTGCCTGTTGAAGTATCAATATATTGTAAGTCCAAATTAGTTTATCCTAGGAACTTGAATGTAATGGCTAGGTCAAAATGAGATAAGTGGACATTCTCAAACATCCTTCTTCCAACGCTAGTTTCACATTTGGATTAGTTTAAACCAAACCCCTCGATTATTTACACAGCAAAAGGAGGTGGGTGGGACGTGAATTACCAGTGAGTTTCATGTGTGAAACCCATACTGGATGTTATTACTGGTCTTCTTGGAAGAAAAGTTGGATTTGCAATACTGTATAACATTTTTTTTTACCTTCTGTACAGAACTTGTACCAGTAATGGACAGTATCCTGGATAGTCTCTCAAAAACTGTAAGTATTCAAATGTACTCTTTAAATCTTCAGAATCAGATTGAACTAAAGTACTGAAAATGGCTCCACATGGAACCCCTCTATACCACCCTCTTTTTGTCTCTCTTTTTACTTGGTAAGAAGTTTTGATTCTCATTTTCCCGCTGACTTTTTCAGGAATTTGTGAGCGTGTGTGTTCGAGATCCTAGACTCCACAAAGATGACCGCTGGCACACTCATATCGACTACGAGATCTGTTTACATGCAAGTGTTTTTGGCCGAATATTGACCTTTGCTTTATTTTTATTTTGACAAGATAAGTGAACAAATTTTTTTCCTTCAGACCAACAGCATGTGTTTTCGAAAGAAGACTTCCTATGTGAGGCGGAGTTACAGTGATTTTGTTTGGCTGCGTCACTGTCTGGAGGGGAATGCTCTGACCATGTACGTTTAAACTCAAGAATCTTGTATAAGCTTGGCGTGGCTAGATGCACGTAAAAATATTTCGTCTTCTGCGCAGAGAATTGCCCAAGTTGCCACCCTGGATTCCCTTCTTTAGTTTGAAGAACAAAGAGCAAGTATCCAAAAGAATGAAGGGCCTGCAGGAGTTTCTAGAAAAGTTAGTAGTTTTATAAAATTACTTTCTTTTTATGTTGACTGAGATGTTTTAATGCAATTTTCTTTCTCCAGCGTTTTTCAGAATCCCTTATTGTTATCAGATAGTCGGCTCCATCTCTTCCTCCAGTCAGATCTCAGTATCAGAAGGATTGAAAGGTGTGCTCTTGGTAAGACCAGGTATACTGTGGCTGAAGCTATTCAACTGTCCAGAAGCGGCTACAGCAGTTCAGAGGACAAGAGTTCTTATGACTCGGACTGCGAGAGGTGAGATGTTTTTACAGTGGCTTACAAAAGTAATATGCTTTGAACTTTTTTTTTACATTCACATCAGTCACAAAGTTCAATGTAGAGTCATCGTTTGGATCTGTGGCGGACGAATGTAAAATATCACACAGTTGTTGAAATTGAATGTGGTTTTATTGAACAATCTGTATTTTTTTCTGCGCAAAATTCAGTCTTGAAGACAAATATATTTTAAATGTTAGAGTTGAATCTTGTGATGGTGCTCTGGTTTAAACATCAGCGCCCTCTCTGACCTTTCTACTGTCACTTGGTCTTCATGACGCCTGTTCAGTTTTCTATTGAATCTCTGAGGCCTTTACAGAACAGCCAGATTTATTTTAATTTGCAGGTTTACTATTTCCATCTGTTTGCACTGGCTTTTATTTAGCGGGGGAGAGAGGAGTTGTGTACACTTGGAAGTTCATTCTTTGTAGTTGTAACATGACTAAATCTAAAGGGTCAAATACAGCTAGTGCAATTTAGATGCTAATCTTGCTGTTTTTTTATTTGTTTGTTTGTTTTTTTTCATTGTCCAGCTCTGCATCTTCAGGTTTGGGATTGAGCATCGATACTATGGCTCGAGACAGTCCGGTCCCTTTTCATGATTCAAATGAAGGAGGATTCTCTAATTGAGGATTCTCCTTTTCATATACAGCACAGTATTAGTTTTAAAACCTGCATTACCTTCCCTCAGATTATAAATCTGTGTAACTGCCTGTTTGCGATAGTCTTTGAAGTCATGGTATGTTTGACCAGGAAAGTTGCTTGGACGATTTTAATCTACCTCATTGTACTCAAAGACCTTTGTCACTTAAATGGTATGTTTGTGAGGAGGAAGTTTGATATACATTATTTATACAACATGTAAGTTATGGAGAACTCTTTAAAAATGTCAAATGCATTTTATTATTGCTTCAGTGTTGCGCTGTATAGTAAGCAAGATTTGAATTGTTTTAATATTTCATCATATTTTATGATTGGATACAGGATAAATAAATTGTCTTTGAAGAATTGTTGATTTTTATTTTATTTATTTTACTTAGCAAAGTTTAGATTTGCTTTTCACAAGACTCCAGTGATGGTACATGTTTGCATTGTGCCAACAGTCCAGTAGAGGGAGTGTAGACAGCATCTTAAACTGAAACAGTTGGCTGTTCAGAAATGAGGGCCACATGCATTGCAGAACATTAACATCCTCTCACCCTCTGTGTAAGAATGTTTCTGCAGTTTTAGGAAAACTTGGTTACCTTATACCTAAATATGGGCTTGGAAGACACACTTAAAAGTATGCGTGCACATATTAAAGTTTGATTTTCAGATTTTCATCTCCGGTTATGTAGCCTTGACCCCAAGACGCGACTTTGATCAGCAGTTCTTGCATTTATTACTTTTACATCCTCCTGTGTGGCCATAAGATAAAAATTTATGTCCAGACCTCTGGACAGTGGTGAGAAATGGCTCTGTCAAATCTGATTTCTAGCCTAGCAATTACTTGAAGTTACCGAAACTCCACTGAGAAAGTAAAATGCATCTAAAAGGTTCAGTAATACTTGTGTCATTTGTGATGCATTAATGTGTCGAAGTTTTCCTGACATTAATGTTAGTGTGCAGTTGATGCTTCAATAAAATTTAGGACGTCTCGCACATTCACGTTTGTCAGCATTTGTCACGTTGACGTATGCCTGTCTAACTTCTGGCTGTTGAAAGGAGATGTTTGTCACAGTTCAGGCATTCTAGATGAGATCGGTCGAATTAGTCAAGACTACTTTTGAACTTCAAACTTTCCCAGGATGCAACAGCACTTGGCACCCTTTTTAAACTGGAGGAACCAATTGCTCATTACAGAAGACAGCAGCTGCCCCCACCAACCAACCACAGGACAGGACATGAGGATGCCCCCCACCCCCCATACCTCCCCACATTAAACCTGGCCCGTCCTGTCTCTGTTCTTCTTTCCTCTGGATCACACCATCTCCCTGTGCGCACAGGCCATAATGAAGCTGTCAACGACTTCACACGGCAGCCGCTGAGCTGTTTTTCACAACGCAAACACTATTGCGTACGTACGCGCAACGCTGACAGTTGTGAAAGCACACGAGCGAAAGCCGTGCATGAGTGAACATTTTCTCTCCTCTCCTCATCCTGTTGTCATTCCCCCCCCCCCCCCCCCCATCCCCTTCTAGTCCCACTGGTTTGTGTTTGGAGCTCTCAATCTGTTTGCTGTTAAGGCTGACCTTATCAGTGTACACCCCTTGACAAGCATACAGTTATGACACACACGGTTTGGTTCAGAGCGGGTCAATTTTTCTGCAAAAATGAAATGCAGCTGAACGCGTTTGCATCTGCTGTGTGTGTGTGTGTGTGTGTGTGTGTGCACATCTGCAGTTTTGAAGGAGGGGAGTATGAGAAGGGGGGTGGGGGGGGGGGGAACCAACCAGCATTTGGATATTGAGTATTCACGGTACATGTCTATTTCAGCTTGGTAATTTATAACTCAATTTCCAGTGTGCATTGATGCGCTTCATACCTCAAAAACACCAAACAAAGCCCAAACCCAATTGTATTTGAAAGCAATTAGGGTGTCCACTGGGTTGTGAACGGTCCACGTTGCGATGGCTCTGGGCCCGTGTGATATTTAATTGTTAATTTTCTATCACATTAGTCAACTTCAGTGCTTTTGGACAGGTGACCAAGAGTCTTTTACGTAACGTAATGCTTTTTAATGGGGGGTGGGGGGGATACTTTTGTGCGTAGGAGGGGAAAGGTGATGTATGCGCAGAGTTAAATGACACGACTGGTATATCATATTTACAGCTGCTTTACGGTCACAATCTTCTTAACGCTTTTCAATATACGTGGGTGACCGTCAATACTGGTTTAAGATTATGAGTGTAAATTATTAGCTCATTTAGTCTCTCACCTGATGCCACCACAGGGGAATGGATTCACCTCCTTGACCGTACAAAAGCCAACAATGGTAAAATCCATACCAGCAATTAGCCTGCGTAGCTCTCACCCTGGCCCTGCGCTCACTTCCACACCCATTTTTCTACTTCTCTCACTTTTCCCCTCTGTTCTCCTCATCATCTCCCTGTAGGCCACAAGTTAATTACCTGTACTCTTTTGTAGTTGGGAGGCTATTTTTTTATAATTTTTTTTATTTTTTTTGCTTTTTTTCTGCTGATGCTGCACACCCTGACTCCCTGTGCCTCAGATGTTGAACTGTTGAGAAAGTATGTAGGCCTCAGTCTAGAGCTTGTAGCTTTCTATGGGCTTTTTTTTTTTTTTTTTTTTGTATGGCCAAAGAAGCGATCCTCCATAATTTATCATAAACAATCTGAAGGATGAATCTCACACTCTAAAGGGAGTATCGTATTACCCAGCTGTTGTTCAGCTGGGGAAGTCATCATCATATTTAAACTTATACTTAAGTACAATAAAACAAAATTAGGTTTAGTGTCTGGATATTAGAATTTGAGAAAGACTGTAAAAAAACAAACAAACAAAAAAAAAACTACAATGTATTATTATCAATCTAAAATCTATTTTTTCCTCTTTAAAATCTTTTCTATTATCAGAAAAAAAAATTAAAGATCCTTAAACGGACTTCTGCTTTCATACAAAAACATATATTATCTAATGTTTTGTAACCTATAATAGTTTGGAAACATTAAATGTATTGCACTTACTAATGATCTAATTCAGCAAGCAACTTGCTGACCAGTGTATGATGACCACAGTATATAGAGATTTCTGTGATGAACTGGCAAAATTAAGAAACACTCAGAATCAGTCAGTCAATAAATCTTCATTCGAAAGAGCAGTTCTCACACACACACACACACACACACACACACACACACACACACACACACACACACACACACACACACACACACACAAGGTGAAAGGTACCTTGTGTCTGTAAAATCAGCACAAAAGAAAGTTTTTAATCCAAAAAAAGGAGCCACTTGTGTGTCTCCTCCCACCTCTGAAATCAAAATCCCATCTTATTTCTTAAAGACCCACCCAGCATTTTGTTTATTTATTGGTGTGACAGAATTTAGTTTTTTCTACTTAAGCATAAGTTTAAATCTGCTGATGACTTCCCCAGCTGAACAACAGCTGTGTAATAAGATGTTCCCTTTAGAGTGTGAGAATTACCGGTACATGTGCTGAACTCAATGTTCGGTTCCCAGAGATACACGATGGAATTAGTCCAAGGAATGTCAGCACTTTTATTGTGGTTCAGAGGCGATGTATTGAAGGTGGCCCATCAAGAGTTCAGTCTTCTCCCTAAGCTCCCAGCGAGCCTCTGTGGAGAGACTGACTGCTTCTTCCATACAAAAAAACATATTATCAAATGTTTTGGAACGGCCTTACCCTGAAAACCTAGTACAGTTTGAAAAAAATAAAATGTATTCCACTTAATACAACAGGAGAACCTTTCAGAAGGCCAACTATTTCTGCAGCAATCCACCAATCAGGCCTCTATAGGAAAGTGACAAGACGAAAGCCACTCCCTAATAAAAGACACATGGAAGCCAGAGTCCAGACTTGAATACAGGTGAACATCTCTGGAGAAATCTGAAAATGGCTGCATGGATGTCTCCCATCCAACCTGATGGGGCTTGAGAAGTACTGCAAAGAGTGGGCCAAGCTGCCTAGAGATTGGTGAGCAAAGCCTGTGACATCACATTCAAAAAGACTTGACGTTGTAAAAGCTGCCAAATGCGTATCAACACAGCACCAAGCAAAGGCTGTGAATACTTGTTTGTGATGTCTTGGTTTTCTATTTTGGATTAATGTGCAAAACAGAAACTTTTTTTTCTCCACATTGTCACAATGGCGAATAGTGTATTTGAGGAAAGAAATTAATTCAATCCAATTTGGAATAAGGCTGGAACATAGCAAAATGTGGAAAAAGTGAACTGCTGTAAATACCTTCCAGATGCACTTTATTGCTACCTGACAATGGAGGTCGTTTTACCTGTTTGTCTAAAACATATCGTTCAAGGTTTGCTACATTAGCAATGATCAATATTTACAGCTAAATCTAGTCATAATTTACCTTAAAACTTCCAATAAGATACTGAAATAAAGGAAAAGTAATGTGTTTCTCATATTTTGGACTTTCTAGTGTGCCACCTACCAGACTAAGGTTTTGTTTTGTCAAGTTCTAGAGGGCCTTGGAAAACAAAAAAACAAAAAAAAACAAAAAACTGTTTTGCAAGGTAAAGTTCAAATCAGGAGAAAGAAACGCGTGTGTGTGCACTGTGCAGTTATGTGTTGTTCTGGGGTCAAAAGTCAGCACATCTGTTGTCTTTTGGATAATTCCGTCTTAAGTGTAATTGCACAAGCTGTCATTTAAAGTCAATGGGTCTCCCTCCACAAACCCCGCCACCGCATGCCTAAAACATAGACATGCCAAGGTTTCGCACTCACTCCGCACATCACAGACCGTTTAACAGCTAAAATATGACCCGTGCACAGATAAATGTCAGCGGGCCATCTATCTGAGAGTGTTAAAAGTCGGCTAATGGAGATGACATATTAGCGGCCCAAATGACTGCCATAAAAAGAAGCGCCCTCCATACCTCGAGGCTGTGCCTGGCCACTGTGACGGCAGTCAGACACAGCAGCGGTCTGTTCGGAGTGGAGGGTGATCTCATATCTGGATCTTTTGATTCAATAAATTGTGTGGGGTTTGGCTGCGAGGCCCTGTGACTGGGAGATGGATGTGACATATTTACTTGAGGGCT